TTAAATGCAACTATACACCCACATTCCAAGTGTATCAGCCTCTTAGGTATAGCCACCAGCAATGGTCACATGTTTTGGGAATATCATACAAGTTATCAGAGGAAAATACACCATTCCCACCTCAGCTGTTATAACACAAAGTGCAACATCCTGCAACCAGGGCATTGTTCAGGGCTACAACTCCAAGCTTTCTCCATCCTTGCTAGTACAATAGGCACTCCCTCAACTTCCTCCTCTTTTATCAGTGGACAGATGCTTCATCTCCAGATCAATGGGCTGGTGATTCTTTCATCAACATAAAAAGTGGAGCAATTTATTGGTTCAAAGATTTTACTTTCTCAAATTTATCAATTCCCTTGAATCCCTGAGCTGTTAACTGAATAACTGGTATCTGTCAGTTCTAACATACAAGCATCAAGAGTCAAAGACAAAGTTATAGCATCCAGCTCTATAAAGTATTTTAAAATGAGATGAAAATCTATGCATGATATATACATATATCACTTCCCCACACAACTGCTGAAATTCTATGATATCCAGCAACAAATTATGAAACAGTATTGTCCATTCTAATGGCTACAGTCTCATCTCCAAATGTAAGGATTTACACACATCAATATAATTAATGTTAATGGCAGCCATAAATATAAATCTTCTGAATATCGAAAGGGATTAGGCTGTTAAAATGACCGACTGCCTTCCCAAACAAACACTAGACAAAACATTAGTACATAGAAGCTGTATTTCCACTGGAATAATTTTTCCATGTGGCCTGCTGACACTTTTATTATTTGGAAAATAACAGGTTAAGTAGGGAACAGCCTATTTTACACTAGCTATAACTGGGTAAACTACACACTTCTGAATCAGGATCTACAGAATGAGCACTGTGCAGAGGAGCCCAAGGATAAACACATGAAATGAGACTGTCAAAGTCATGAAGGGACTTAGTCACACACTTTCCATCAACCACTTCTTCACCACTTTGAAAATCCTATTCGCCATCCCTGTATTTAAAGTTTTTTGTGTTTATCTATATATTTCTATGTCCCAAAAACTTTCACTTATTGTAAGTGTTGAAACAACATTATCCTGCAAAGGTAGTTTCTCAGAAACACATTTTCAAAGCAGCATGAAGGTTTTCACTGTGTGACATTTATTAACACCAATTGGATTCAGACAGCTAAATCTTGCTGCAATTCATTGTCAGTTTACCCCTTCCAGAATTTAATATTTTTTGAATTTGTTTTATTTGCCAAACATTCTCATCTTTCAGTGTTTTATGGCACGGTGTCTGCAATAGCACAGGCACAATCTCTGCCAGCTGGTTTAATTTTCTAGTACAGACAAGGCCAATGTCTCAGACTTCTGGTGGCATCAGTAAGAATTATGGCTGCAATCCAAAGGATTCATATATCCTGATGATATATTTCCCCAATGTATACATAGCTCCTAATAATCCTAATGACATATTTATGCACAAAGAGGTACACACACACTTCATTGTTCTTTGCTCAGACACCTTTGGCAATGACATATGACAATGCTTCAGTCAGGAAGAGCAAAACAATGAAAGATCAAGGAGGGGTGGTGGGGCAAGATGGTGGTGGGGCAGTTCTCCTTACACAAAATTTCCTTGGCTTTCAGAAGCAGAATCCACCTGAAGGGGTACAATAAAACCCTGGAAGTGACTAGGAGCTTTTCCTGAACATGTGCCACCCGCACTTCCATTTCAATGTCTTTTTTCCATTATTTTTTCTATGTTACACATAATGATATGGATTCCCATTTACAAATGAAGTTATTATTAAATGATAGAAGACTATTTACAGACTGTCCTTAGGATTACTGAATGAAATATTTAAATGTGTTCATTATGAAAAAGTACAAGGTGTCAGCCAAAAACCTCCACTTTCATGGATTAAAGCATAACTGAAAATCGCTATTATTGCCATTTTATGTCAAAAATCCCCTGACAAGCCACACTGAAAATTACAGGCAATTCTTGCAGTTAACACACTTAGCAGGTTAACATTAGAGAAATGGCATTTTATTCACAGTAATGCAGTAACAGTTTCCCTCTTCACTTTTTCCTCGACTATTTCTATGTTGCTGAGATAAAGAAGGCAAAATTTAGAGAAGACTAAAGTTTTAAAGAATGAAGAAACTGTGCCTTAAAGACACTGAACAGTGCACTCTTCTTCACAACAAGAAGAAAATCTTGTTTATGCATATGTCTCCAGGGATTTGGCTTTTTTACTTTCCATCTTATACAGAAGAGAATCTACATAGCACACATGCTATGAAAGGTGTTGCCAACTGTATTTCATTAGATACTTCTTTCTCAGGTAATATCTAAAGTTAATCCTAAGGCTAAGCCTGAGCTGTTGCCCTTCTCAGACATGACCAGAACACAACTAATGTAAACAACTTCTTTTAAAACATGTGCCCATATGTTTCCTTTTTAAAGTTTTTCCTCAAATCATATAAATCATCAGTACCTCTGAAATTCTACAAGTTAGCACTGCAAGTGCTTGGATTTTGCAAGATTTAATCTAAATTTTGTCTACAATCACCTCTCCATAAGTGGATGCAAAGTGGATGTAAAATAAATCTCAATGAGAATAATTCCAGGGATGCAGTTTTGCTGCATATGCTTTATATTCATCACCTCTAAGATATTAGAATAAGATTTAAACTCTATATGGTGTTAACTTCTACATATATAAATTGAACACTACCACCAGTGAGATTATGGACAGCATCTGAGCTTTAAGTTCATGTGTTGTGGCTCAGGAATGATTCTCCCAGTGATACTTCCCAGATCATGCTGCCACTCTCTCCTCCCTCAGCCCCCTCTTCCTTCCCCCTGCAGGTGCCTGGAGAGGAGAATTCGAGGCACAAAAGGCAAAGATCATGGGTTGAGAGAAGAACAATTTACTGGAAACAGCAATGAGATAAGAAGAGGAACAGCAACATCAACAATATTGATACCAAAAGCATGCTAAAGGAATGGAAAATGCTCATTCCAGCCCCACCAGACCTCAGCCATGCAGCCAAACTCCCCCTGGCTTGGAACCAGGGCTACCCCACCACTCTCTCCAGCTTGGAACTAGTGTCACACTACCCCAAACAGAAGGAGCCCATTCTCCCTGGAAGAGAGCCCTTTTCCTCCATCCCTGGCAATGATGTGAGGCAGTACAGGATAACCTGCAGGTCCTAGCTATGTCCCCTTCAGGCTACTGTAAAAAAAATTAATCACATCTTTGTTGGAACCAGGACATAATATCTCCTAGATTACTTCATGAATATAAATACTTCCATTTTAAAATGAAAATAAATTAAAATGAGAGCATTTTGCCATACAGACATTTATCAGCACCTGAAAGATGTAGATATGACAATGGAACATCACTATAAAACATGTAAGAACAGCAGAAAAAACTATGCATTGAAGTAATTTTTGAAAGTTGTTATATCATCTGATAGATCTTTTATAAAACACGACTCTTTTCCTGAAAGACTTTTTATAAATTTCTCTAGAGATTATGGTGGCCATTCACACTTTACTTCAATTTTTATAGACTCCCAGTAATTCCACAGAATAGTAAATACAGTTATTATAATCCTCATAACTGGCAAAGAGATATATTTGAAGAAATAGGGTTTGTTTCCCCTCCCACATGCATGATGTAAATCAGGAGCAATTCTGCTGCAGTCGTTAGCCTAAAACTGATACAAAACAAGAAATAAAAAACAACAGCAATGTATACAGAGCACTTTCCTTACACTAGGAGTACAAATTATATGCCTCCTCTGTCTCTGGGCAAGGGTCTGCCGTTGAGTTACTTATACCACACTAAGTTCATCACTCTATTCACATGTGAATAAGGTCCAGGCTCACACTGGAAACAATGGAGACACACCAGTTTACACAGGCTAAGAACCTGGCACAAAGCCTTGAAAACTAAAGGGGATTTTCAAATAAATGCAATATGTGCAATTACTTCTGGAGTATTACCTCTGAAACAGAAGCAATTTCAAAGTGGTGTAAGAGAAAAATGGAAAGATAGAAAAGGATTACAAATACAAACAAACAACTCCTCCCGACACACACACTAAATGCATTCCACTTTTCTTCTTTACAGACACACACAGACAAGGAACTCTGCTCATTTTAAGAGAGATCATGTGGTGAAATGATGATATTGAGTCACCAGAAAAGAGAAAAATCTTTTAAAACACTCTTGGGACCAGGGACTACCGTTAAGGGGAGAGCATTATTTTATCATCCTGCTAATGAGCCAGATGAAGGATTATTGTTGTTTGGCAGTGATTTATCTCAACAACTCTTTTCTCTACAATAAATATGCCAACTCCACTAAACAAAGAGAAGAAGCGGCACCGTTCTGTTGTTTCAAATCCACGCTGAGGAATACTTAAGCCGAGGAAAGGAACCCCAAGAAAAGTCACGGGAGAGGGCCGGCACACGCGGCTTTCACACAGGTTAAGAAGAATAGGAAAAGAAAGAGGCGGCGATCCCGGTCCCCGCATCTTCCCAGCGCGCCGGCAGCGCCCAGCAGTGTCCGGCCCCACCGCCGACCCGCGGGCAGTGACCGGGGCACCGTCAGCCTCATTCTTCTTTGAGCAGACGGGGAGAGCCCCTGCCCGGAGCCAGCGGGACTGACCCCTTCTCGAAGCGTTCCAGGGCGGGGAGCCGCTCTCCCTCAGGCGGGGAGCGCTGACAGACAGCCGCTCGGTGCCGCGGCAGCCGCCTCAGGTGGCCGGCCCGCTCCGTCCCCAGCCACGGCACCGCTCCGCTCCCCGCCGCTCCGCACCGCCAAACTCACGGGTCGGGGCGCGCCGTCGGGGCGGCGGGCAGGGACAGCTCCGCGGCCGGGCCAGCACCGCTCCGCGCCTCCGGAGCCGTGCCCGGGGCGGGGGAGACAGCGCCCGACCCTGCCCATCCCCGCGAAGGCGAAGCGTACCCCGGCACTCACCAGCTGCAGCGAGCAGAGGAAGATCAGCGTGCAGCGCCCCGTGCAGCAGCCCATGGTGGCAGCCGGAGAGCCGCCGCCGCCGCCGCTCCGCTTCTTCCCTCCCGCACTGGCGCGGCCCCGGAGGCGAGGCTGGGGCTCACCGCATCCGGACGGAGCGGCCGGGCGTGCGTGTGTCCCCCGCCTCCCGCTGCCTCGCTCCTTTGTGGAGGGGCTTCTCTCCGGCGGCGGGAAGGAGCGCGGCGGGGTCGGCGCGGCCCCAGGGCTAGCAGCCGCGGCAGCGGAGCCTCTGCCCGGCTCTGGCTCTGGCTCTGGGGAAGGGGCAGCGGCCGGGGGTGGGCGTTCGCGGACCGGGGCGGGGTGGGCAGAGGGAGCGCGGGTGGGGAGGCGGGGGGCGCGGGTGGGCGTGCGAGGGAGGGCGGGAGCTGTGCGAGGTGTGAACGGGAGAGGAGCGGGGGCGGCGGCGGGCTTTTCTCAGGCGCCCTGCCGGGGGTCCCCAGGCGGGCAGTTTGCGGGGATTTTGGAGGCTCCGAGGGCAGGCTGTGCTTGTGGGGAACTTGCCGGGAGGGGCGGGGGCTCTGCGGACAGCGGCAGCCCGGCGTGGGCCGCTTGTTGCGAGCGCCCGGGGAAAGTTCAAGGGACTCGGGCGGCCGAGGCGGGAGGGGCGGGGAGCCGCGGCCGCCGAGCGGCGGGGCGGGCCCGGAGCACCCCGGCGGGCCCGGAGCATCCCGGAGGGCCCGGAACACCCCGGCGGGCCCGGAGGAGCCCGGCCGGCCCGGAGCAGATCGGCCGTGTGGCGGCCGGGGCAGCCCGGGGGCGGTCGCGGGCCATTGTTCGCCGCCCGCGCTGTGCCGGGGTCGGAGCGGGCTCCGGGGCAGGGAAGCAGCCCGGAGCCCGGTGCATGGAGTCCCGCTGGCTGCGGCTGGGTGCCCCCTGCCAGCGGGCGCCGGGCCGTACCCAGTGAGCCTGTCCCCGACCCGCCGCCCCGGCCGCGGGCAGCGAGTGTCTCGGGATGGTCCATCCCCTCCGTGTCCGCCCACCAGCCGTGCTGGGGGAAGGGGATTCCCTTCCTGGCAGCGCCATTGTGCCAGGAGAGCCCGCCGGCTCCTGCTGCCCCTCGCGGGTGGCAACTGGGAATGGGCTCCGGGAACAGGGACTCGGCTCCGGCAGTCACCGCTCCTGGCCGTGGTACATCGCGGAGTGGTTTAGGTTGGAAAAGATCTCAGATCGTGAAGTCCAAGCGTCAGTCCAGCACTGCCAAGTCCATAGCGTACAAAGAGATGGATGAACAAACAGTGCTCTCAATGGGCCTCTCCAGGGGCAGTTGGGAGAAGCAGGATCACTGGAGATACTGCGCTCCCTACAACATCTATACATGTCATTTGGTCATAGACAAGTGATGTTCTGGGGCGGGATAATAAATCCGAATATACCCACCGTCTCTTAAAAATACGGCGTGGGGATGATGTGTGGATGAAGTGTTGGCTACTTTCTTTTTTAACCTCCAGCAAAGTATAGATAAATTATATTATTTTTTACAGGTATGAAGGCATGTTCCACTTACCAGACAGCACTTTCGTACAGCCTGTTACCAGCTGCTGTTTAACAATGCAGAAACTTCTGCCACAAAACATTGAAGCTTGCCCGGAGGGGGGGGGGAAGAAAAACAAACAAACGCAAAAACAAAACATAAAACTAAAACCCTATCTTCTACAAGGCATTTTAGTGAGTTACCTGATTCTGTGTCTGTGAAATACACAGTATTGTATTGTCCATGTACATACAGCTCTTCATTTGTATATTAAACAGTAGTGACAGTAATCAAATAACTACAAGACAACTGTAAAACAATATTGTGTCAGATTAGATTTGGAAAGCTGTGTTTTCCTACCCTTTTCTTTCACCCTTTTAGGTAGGAAAACATTAAGACAGTTTTAAATACCAAACCGAAGGAGCAAAAGGAAGACAAGTAAGAAGCAGATTCTGCTCATCCAGGATGTGTATTTAACTAGGTATGTGTTTGAGGAGCACAAAATATAATCCACATAGCACAGTATACAAAACTTTAATAAAACCACCTGAGATTTATATTTCTATGTATGGCTTTTAAGACAAAATTCTACCTGGGGCTGAAGTTTATTAAAGTTACATGTTCTGAGAACATATATATTTGGAAGGGTGAGTACCTAGAGATATGAAAGTAAACTGAAAGGATGATAGTTACCAAAAATAGAATGTTCTAGGCTCTGTGAGCTGGTAAATTTTATGGGTAAGTGGTTTTCTATAGAGAAGACTTAGAGGAAGCATCATCTTTCTGGCCTTCACTGAAGTGTTTAGTAGACTACAAAATCTTTTTAGTTAAACCAAATAATACAGAGATTAATAATAAGAATGGCAGTATGGGTAAGGAACCAGACCAATGAAATGCTAAGAGCTAGTGCTGAAGAGATTTTACTTGTACTCACCATATTCAGGCCCTGCTTTTGCACCAATGGCATGAGGTCCACAACCTTCCACTATTTTTCCCCAAGAATAGTGCTCTTCTGAGAAGTAGCTAAATCTTATGGAATTAGGGGTGGGGAACATGATAATTTAGGCTGCAATAGAATTAATTTTCTTCACAGTAGCTACAATGTGACTGTGTCCTGGATTTGCACTGACACAGGGCTGATAATTCAGGGATATTTTAGTCACCTCAGAGCAGGGTTCACAGACCCTCAAGGCCTTTTTGTTCTCAGCCCTCACCACCAACGGGGGGCTGGGGGTGCACAAGGAGTTGGGAGGGGACACAGCTGGGACCCCAGCTGACCACAGTGATATTCCCTACCATTAGGGCATCGTGCTCAGCATGTAGTGCTAGGGGAAAAGAAGAGGGGGACATTTGGGGTGATACCATTTGTCTTCTTCTCAAGTCACTGTTACATATGACAAGGCTCAGCTTTCCTGGAGGTGGCTCAACCCCTGTCTGCCCATGGGAAATAGTCAATGAATTCCTTGTCTTGCTTTGCTTGTATGCATGACTTTTGCTTTCCTTATTAAACTATGTTCATCTCAACCCATGAGTTTTCTCACTTTTACTCTCTGAATTTCTCCCCTATCACATCAAGGAGGGTGGGGGAAGAATGAGTACCTGCACGAGGCTGTATGTTCAGCTGGGGTTAAAACACGACAAGTGAGAGTAAGTTTCTTAGAGGTTTATGAATCTCTGATACTTTTCTCTTTGTTTTCCCATGTTCCTGAAGCATTTAGTTATGTCCTCTAGCTGGTCAATATTGACCCTCCACCCCCCCAAAAAAGGATACTTGTGATGAGAATTATTCCAGAGTATAAGGTTTCACAAATAAAAAAAAAAATCACAACAGAATACTGTTGAGCACGATTTCCACAGGAGCACAAGGAACTAAAATAATAAAATAACCCTGCACTGTAGCTGAGAGCACTGGACAATAGGAGAAGTATGGGAGAAAGAACCTGGATCAGAAAAAGGCTAAAATGAATTATGGTTATGAGAAAGCATAGGATTTCTATAACATATCGGAAAATGCATTATAAGAATAAAATCATGTACAAAGCAAATAGGAAGACTGTATTCTACAGATTTTTCTACCTGTGAATTGAGTAGAGAAGTTGATAGTCAAGTAACCATAGAAAGTAATTTCCTGCTATATAATGAAGTCAGCCCTCATTCAGCACCATGCATGCCAAGTAGGTGAAAAAATGGTCTAAATTCTAAAGAGCCCTGTGGACTCTCTTAATGCCCAACAAGATGTGCTGTATGGATGCAAATTCAGTGCTCTTGAAAAGAAAGCATGTCCTCAAATGCTTTATGATATGTCCATGTACACATGGCCATACCCTCACATAAGTGTATGATTTCCTATGCTAAAACTATAATCATAGGACATCAAAACTTGTCCTTCTTATCTGATTGCATCCGAAGCAGAAAACCAAGGTTATTCACATTCGTACAAATACAGCATGACAGATAGCAATAAGAGATATTACAAGTATGAAATAGAGACTTCTAATTCTTATAGGTTTATGCCTTGTTAGATTATAATCTTCAGAATCAAAGATAGGAAAATTTTCAGGTTGAAGAACTAAAAACATCAGTAAAAGATCTCATATCAAGAGGATAAAGTGAAAATCATAGTATTTGACTGTCCTTGTAGCTCTTTAATGGTATATACTATTTGTCTAATGAGCATTTACTTGTCTGTCTCTCCTGGAGTTTTCCTCAGCCTGCACCAAATTATCCTGTCATGGTCCTGACCTCAAGGAGGTGCATTTTGTTCACTCTGCCCATTGGACTAAAGTAGTAATCACAGATGACAGCAGAAACACTTCCTTCATAGTTTGACTGTTCCATTCTTCATCATGAATATTAGTTAGAGGAAATTAGTGATGAAAAAATAACAGTGTCAAAGGATAATCCTAATCCTGGAAAGATTTCTGTATTTACTTAATTTTTAACACCAAGCATAGCCTTTTATGCTGGGCAGAGATTAGGCAAATACATTTAGGGTCTGCAGAATCAGAATTTAAGAACAGATTCTTGTGGCCTCAGATTTCACCTTTCATTTTGGCATTTGATCCAGAAAGATTGAGAATCAGAAGTTTTGTAATTGCTTTTCAAGCTTTTCCAGAATGAGGGAGGATACAGGGATCCAAATACACCTCCATAAAGCTATCAACAGGTCACACTTCAGGCAGACTTACAGTTATGATAGCTTAGAAAAACATTCCACTGTGTATTCCCCAAGCAGCCTTGAAATACCTCAAGCAAACTAGAAACCCCATGAAATTTAATACAGCTTTAAAGACAAATGAGGGTTTCAAGATATTATCAGTGTTTTTAGTAAATCCTATTTTCAATTTATCCTTCTGAAAGCAGATACACAATATAATGATCTAATTTTTCATGTCGATGTTAACACCTGCTGCTAGGAAACTGCATTCTTCATTAAAATGCAAGTGCTTTAAAGAATGAATATATATGTTCATTGTGAATGGCTTTTTTTTAATTATTTTAAAGAAGTGTTTTAAATTATCAAGCTCAGTTTGGGGAAGCATGGTGAGGCACAGCTCCTCAGTGTTTACGCAGATCCATGGGGAAAGACATGGGGACTGGTCAGTGTCAGAGACAGGACATCAGCCCAGGCTGGGCTTGTGCCTGGGCAGGCAAAGCTGTGGGGAGCTGTAGATCAGCCCTGCTGCTGAGGCAATGCTGGGTCAGGCTCTGATGGCCCTTTTGGGGCTGAGATGGGGTCCTGGGCTGTGAGCAGGACTGGGGGAGCCCA